TAGAAGAATTGATGCCTTTGAGTTATGGTGTTGGAAGAGAATATTGAAAGTGCCATGGGCTGCCAAAAGAACCAACAGATCTGTGTTGGAAGAAGTGCAGCCAGAGTGGTCCTTGGAGGCCGAGATAGCCAAAATTCATCTCTCATACTCTGGATATATTGTCAGGAGGGAGCAGTCGCTGGAGAAGGATATCATGTTTGGTAAGGTGGAGGATCAGAGAAAAAGAGGAAGACTCTCAGCAGATGGATTGGCAAAGTGGCAGCATCAATGGGCTCAAGCATGGCAACAATAGTGAGGTTGGTCCAGGACTGGACAGTGTTTCGTTCTGTTGTGCATAGGGTTGTTATGAGTAGGTACTGACTCGATGGCACCTAACAAAAACAACAACAACAACAACAGCAACATATGTTGGTGTGCCCTCAAGCACTATCCACATCTTGGTGGATGTGATAGAGACTAGAAGTGTGAACACAGTTCTTTGATTTCTGTTTGTGTAGCGTAGTTCAGGGCAGGTCCACATGCCCTCCAGATGTGGGGGTGGTATGCCCAACACCTGACCCCAGGCAGAGCAGAGGCTGCACAGGAGGGTGCCATAGGCCACTGGGCTTATGAGGGTGCAGGAAACAAGGGAGAACGGCACCCACCTTGCTGTCACCCTCTAACTGCATCTTCTGCCTCTAGGCTGCTGTATCAACAGTTGCCTACAAAAGCTCAAGAGGGCCACAGTGCTGCAGGCCAGCCAACTGTACACCGATCTTTCTCCCTTGTTGCTCCTCTTCCAGCCCTTACTCAGTCAACCTCTCTATCCTATTATCTGAAGTTCAGAGTTCCAGAATCTCCGTCTATTTCTATTTCACTTGGTACCTTATGTTCTCGTCACCAAGGGTCAGTCCAACGTGTCTGTGTTCTCTACCATCTTGCCCCAGAAGTGTCTCAAAGCAAGCATTTTTTTTTTTTTAAAGGAAACTTCATACTAATACTTCAGAGAAAAAATTAGTGTCAACCATTTGTCACAAGTAAAATCCGATTATAAAAATAATTCGCTTTATAAATCTATTTAATAAACAGAAGGCAAATGTAAAAGCAAATTTATTTTCCTTTCAAAATTAAAATTAAAAATGTATTATTCCGTAGAATTTCTAATTCTCATGGATTCTAGACTTTCTGGAATCATGGAGATCCTCTTTAAACCTTAAACCAAAAATATCCCTGAAGTTATCTCAAAACCTATCAGTAGTTTTTCCTAACTGGTTAAAAAAAAAAAAGTCTGTCTTGAGTGCTATGCTCATTTCAGAGCTACCTTATTGTTAAGTACCATCAAGTCTGTTTCAAATCATAGTGACCCTGTATAGGGTTTCCAAAGAGCAGCTGGTGGGTTTGAACTGCTGACCTTGTTGTTAACAATCCAGTGCTAATCCTATAGCACCACAACCTATACGGGATCTAATCTAGACAACAACTCCAAAGACTAGATAGGAACATTAGGGAGTAGTACGTTTATGCTAACAAGGGAAGAACAACTCAGAAAAAGAGGGTAAAAATCATTGTACAACTTGAAGAATGCCATCAATGTCACTAAATGGTACATGTAGAAACTGTTGAATTGGCATATGTGTTGCTGT